CATCCCTCTTCACCACATATTGAGCATAAAGCACGGTCTTCTTTAGCATAGTCCTTGGAGATATGGTTTCAAGAGAAGTTATCACGTGCTCTGAGAAGACCTGCTCGCGTGGCCTTGTGAGTTTTGAGAAGTGAAACTTTGCAGCGGCAGAAGGCATTCCTGTAAGCTCTGGATCGTAAAGGGGCTCTGTGTCCACGGTAGAGTAACGCCACCGCAGAATCTCCTCCACAGTGGTTACGGGCTCTGTGCGCACTTGCTACGTGGGAATTTTGCTCATCGATTCAAGGATCTCAGTAACCCTTCCCACTGTGGCAGATTCTGGTATTCTGGTTTCTTCTTCTTCTAGTATTGGCCTCTGGGTGGACCCCTCTGGTAGGATTGGCTTGACAGTTCCTACCAGAGCGTCGAACGTACCCTTGGACGTTTCCTCCTTCGCCATTTTGGAGGAAGAGCCTTCTCCAGCTCTGGAGATAGGGGCTCTGCCCTTTCTTGCTTGTGCCTCTGCCAAAGACACCTTTAACGCTCGAACTAGGTCTGGGTCATCATACTCTTCTTCATTTATCTCCTCTGGCGTCTCAGAGCTTGACCCCTTCTGTGGCAACTCCTCTACAGCTTTACCCTTGCCTTTCCCCTCAGGCTCTGGAGATTTATCTTTTGAGAACAGGGCAGCTGCAGAGTCCACTATCTTTAGTGGTTTGGCAGAGGTTGTCTTCTTTGGCTCCTCTGTCTTCTTCTTCCCCTCATGACGATCATGGTCATCACCTCTTTGATCGTCTTGGATTTTAGTGGCTTCTGCCTTGCAAGTAGTAAGGGGAGCCTTCTTCAATCGCCTCAGAATCCTGGTAGCTGCCTTCTCCATTTTCTCGATCACCAACTCAGCATTCACAGAAGTGCTGCTTATGTCGATCTCTGTGGCCCACTTCATTTTAGAGAGGCTGCGATAGATTTCGCTTCTCAATGTGTCACCCTCTTTGACGAGCTTTGAAGTGCAGTCTCTTATTGATTGGTTGGAAGCTCGGGCTTCTTTGAGGAGTTGGTCTGTATATTTGCGCATGATATCTCCTAGGGCTTCAACCATTGCATCTAGCTCTCTGCGAGTGGCTAGATGGTTGATGTTTGCCCTGGAGGATTTGGTATCAACGCCATAGGTGACTGCAGAGGAGAACATTTGCTTGATCTCATCCTTGAAGGCGGAATAGTCTGTGTAGCCGGCGGAGATGAAATCAACAGCAAACTGGGCGACCACCTCTGATAACTCTGTCTTCAGCTTTTGGATTGAGGAAGGGTTGAGAGACAGAGCGCTCAAAGCTTCTGTGAGGTCGTCTTTATGAAGGACAGAGCTCTGAAGGGTTGAATGGGTCGCCTTGAGCCTCTATTATTGGTGCAAACGCCTCTGTCCATGGTTGAGAGGTGAACAAGCTTTTCAACTCGTCCAACCTCTGGAATACCGCTGTAGCGAAGGTTTGTAACTCCCCCTTCGTCACATAGGTATCCTGGGAACCTAGATCACCAACACATGGTGACCTAATAGCCTCGGAGTGTGAGGCACCCTCAACGACTGGTTTTGCGATGTCAGCTCGGGGACTTCCACCGGATCCTCGAACATCTTCAATTGGAGAGCCTACCAGTGTTCTGTCGATATCGTGCCTAGTAGGTTCAGAGTCTAACTCGGCAGAGGTATCGAGTGGAGACTTTGGGCGTTCTAGACCCGCAGCCTCTGTGACCCTCTCATATGCCTCTGAAGCATAAGTTGGTTGTTCACTCTTGTGAGGGGAGGCAACGGATGCCTCTTTGGGTTGTGACGAGTCCTTGGGCGAATGGACTCTTATTTTAAAACCAACATCCTTTTAAGAGGATGTTGGAGTATGTTGTGGTTCCCGGGCTGTGCGTTCGACAGAGGACGAAAGAATGTCCTCTGCGAGGTTGGTTTGGGTTGGGTTCAGCATGTGCACGCCTTGTTCAATAGGGGTTCCCTCTAGAACAGGGTCCCTATAAACGTGGGTAGCACTAGGAAGGGGCTAGGATGTGTGCCTTCGGCATCTTTTACTCCCTCTTCTATCTCCAACTCTTCTTCTTCTTCGTCTAATACGACCTCTGTCTCGAAATCAGCTACTTCTGTAGGCACTTTAAACTCTTATTGAATTTGGAAGATTACTTCGTGTATCTGCTCTGTTGGGGACTCTTCGTGAACCACCTTGCGTAACCTTCTGCGCTTTGGAGCAGCCTCTACAGGGCTTTCTGGGATTACAGCCTCTGTGACCACAACCTCTGCGGGTTGGGCCTTCTTTGATTTCTTCTTCTTTGGTGTTTGCAGAGGACTGCTTGGACCCTCTTCTTCTGCGGGTCTCTTCTTCCCTTTTTTCTTCTCAGAAGAGTCAACACCCTTCTGAGTCTTCTTAGTCTTCTTAGGTGGGGGACTTGCTACTCTCGGTCTGTCTTCACTCACCTCTCTAGCCTCTGTTGGCTCCTCCATTCTTTGCTCTACTCTCATTTTTTGAACTCTCTCCTAAGGGGATTCCTATGCGTGGAGGGGTTTTAGGGACCGGTTCTGGCCTCCTGTATCCACGTCTGTATGCTTTCCTATCTCCATGGCTAAGGTATTTGAGCATAGCTTTAGATAGAGGTCTTGGGCTTCTGTACCCTAGCTCATGCTCGTGGGATGGAACTCTTTCATTGGATACAATCTAGCATTAGGGTCGGCAGAGGGCAGCTTCTCTGCAATCATTTCACCAAAGACCAGACCAAAGAACCTCTGTAGGATAAGATTTGGATGGTTGAGGTCCTCTTTGGCCTTCTTCTGCGCCTTCACTTTTGACTTCTCACCCCTCTGTGTCGCGCACTTCTTCTTGATTAACCCCACCATGTCGTCGAATATGAGATGTGCGTAATCGAGGGGCAGGTTGAAATATATTCCATATATAATGGAAAGCATTACGTGAGAGGCTTGGTCATGGCTGTCGACCTTCCCTGTTAGGTAGCAATTCACGATCGAGAACAAAATGTTCCAAATAGGGGGAAGGCCTTTTCATTTGAATTCAGTCCTCATAGCAATTTTTGTCTTGGCAGTGTAGGAGTGAAATTAAAGGAATTGAATTAATTCAGCATCTGTTGGTGATGGGGCAAAGGTATC